TGGTATTATGAATCTTATTGGATTATTAATCCAGAAATTAATTTCACAACCAAACATGCTTTCAATATAACCCGCGTCAATCTTAGTCCAGTACTAAGGCACTAGAATTTCAGGGCTGATAACTCATTGAACAACAGACCGTGAAATTCTTTCTACAGCCAAATTCCCATTTGTAGTTGACAAACAATTAATATATTGAAAGACCAAGTAAAGAGCAAAATCCATGAACCCAGAACAATTAACAACTATTGAAACAAACACATCTGAAACAAAAAGAAAGAATACTATGTTGTAGCCTATACAAAGACAGTTTGAAGCCATTTAGACTTCACATCACAATAATTTGACCACATCTTTTTCTCCACAAAGCATTGCATAGTGCCACCATTGCCAACATCCATCATTATTAGACCACCATAACCGTGCCAAATCTTGTGGCCCCTCAGCAAGCAGAGAAGCAATTATAGCTAAAAGCAACGCATGTTTCGGAACTACTACATAGAATTCTAACTGCCACAAGCCATGCACTCTTCACGGTTTGTTAACAAGAGTAGCCGCAGAAGCACTGCGCCGCTGCCACCAGTGTGCCACCGTAATCTCCAGCTCCATCTCCACAGCTCCGCCTCTCCTCCGCTGGCGCATCCCCTCTCCTCTCCTCCGTGGCCTCCTGCTTCCTCGCCCGAGCCTGCTCTGCCTGCGCCTCCGCGCGCCCTCGCAGATAGCTCGGCGTTGCGCCACGCCGACTTCTCCACCTTCAACCACTACCTCACCGTCACCCACCTCGCCGCCGAGATCAACCAGCCACCGACGGACCACTGTTCGCGGAGGTGGATATTGGCAGCAGCGATTCCGCGCTGATCACACACAGATACAACTAGCTTCTTCAAATGGAACAAAAACGAAAGGTGTTAGACCCCTCCTGTGAGAAACAGCCGGCACATCTGGGTTGTGTGTTTCGTCCTCCTCCCAGCCTTCAACAACTCCAAGAATGTCTTCATCATGGCTCGAAACCTCACCATCATTCACACCACCGCTGCCATCACCACAGCAGCCACGGGAAGCACCACATCACAGCCGCAACGCCCATGGGAGCCACCTCTGCGCTGAGACCACTCTCTCTCTCTCTAGTTGTTAACTCAGAATTAGAGGACAGAAGAAGAAGAAGGAAGGCAAGCTATCCACAACCATTCCAATCCAAGATCGGGGTTTCAATGGAACTTGGCCGGAAAATGTCCAACTTGCTTGGTGAAGAGAGAGAACCCGAGAGAGGTCATATACACCGTCATTTCTCTTTTCATCTTTCTGGTTTGCAGTCAGCTCCCTCTATATGGCATACACTCTACAGCAGGTGCAGACCCTTTCTATTGGATGCGTGTTATTCTCTCTCTTCCCGAAGGACTCTCTCTCTCTCACTTTGCACCCACTCTCCCAATACCACCACTATGGCCACTTTCCTTGTCCCTCCTTTATTTGCACCATCATTTCTTTCAAACTCCTGCCCACATGGTCTTGTTCCCTTTTCTTATCTTCCACCACCCATGCCTTCTTTTCTTAATACATTACATCTTGCTTTTTTTTTTTTTTTCCATATATTATATACCATTTTCTATTCTATACTTTCACACCACCCCACACCAGCACTCACTTCCTCTTTTATTTATTTATTTTAAGTCCTTTTCCTCGGATAGTGCGCAAGCCCTTTTCAAATAATTTTTCATTACATTTTTTAAAACAAAAAAAAAAAAAAAAAAAAAAAAAAAAAAAAAAAAAAAAAAAAAAAAATTCTTTCCAGTTTTTTTTTTTTCTACACGATCAACACACTGTAACACCTACACGATCGTAGCAATCTCTATCGTCAAGTTCACTGCAACACTTGCAAAATCCCTACGAAATCTCCACTGCGAAGTCAGTTTCTAAAATCTCCAATGTGAAGTCAACAATAGAATATTCAGTTTGCCAAAATCCAAACAAACTTATGTTATAAAGAAGGGTAAATTAGGTATTTCATAACATAAAATAAGGTTGAGGAACCTTAGCCATCAAAACATATTATTGTGGACCTATCCTCGTATCAAAAGTTGGGTAGGAATCTTAAACCAATTATTTCAAAAAATTATCCTAATTTACAATATTAGTAAATAAACTCAACACTACTTATCGATTGTCGAAATATTATTATTGTTTCACGAAAAAAGTTACGACATTAGTAAAGAAACTCAACACCATTTGCATTTTGTCTCAAAGGACAAGTTGAGCTACTTCCTATTGCTTTGTTTTTTATTATTAGTTATTTATTTATAGGCATGGCAGAGGACATATTTATATTTATCCAAAAAATGCTGATTTTATCACATTAACAGAAATCAACAGAGTATCTTGGTTGTTTCAAAACTAAAAATTGCTATTCCCATTAAAAAAAAATTAACTAAAATTAAAATTTGGAAATTGCAGAACATATCTCTGAAACCCACAAAGATAATTGTTTTTAGGTTTCAAAATCACAAATTTATAACCCTAAAGTCACCTCTGATTAGCGAATAGAATTAGATGGGTCTTTCTTCCCCTTTCTTTAGTTTTTGTTTTGTTTGACGAAAAGGTTCACATCATTTCGTATAAGCCCTTTAACCATGGTGCAAGAAAGAATTTCCAAGGAAATGAAAGAAATGTTTGCAGCAATGAATGCTATGCTCCACCAAATATCAACCAAACAAATTTGATCACAATCACAATCACAATCAAAACATTGGTGATCAATCCTTGACGATTGTTTTATCACAAGATGACTTAGAGTTAGCACACCAAGATAAACAAGTGATTAAAAATTGTCTTGAAAAATGACTGAGACTGACAAGTTATTCAATCTCTAAATGAAATATCAACCAAGGAAGTGAATCTTGAAATTGTTGTCGTTATTTATTTGTTTGTTTGTTTTTATAATCTCAAGATTTTGGCATTATTCACGGAGGATACATGTTGATGAAAAAATAAATAAGTGTTCCACCAATTTCATCATTTGGAAGTCTATTGAAGAACAAGAATACTATAATTTTATGATTTTAAAGATTATAGTATAATAAAATTATAGTATGGGATCGGAGTGGAATTTATAATATTGGTGTATTCTAATCTTGAGGGTAGGTTTGACTTTTGAGGGAATTGGAAAATTAATTCGAATATTTCACATTCTATTTTATAATTAGAGTTATTAGGTAGCTAGGATTAGTAGATATAGTTATTAAACACTTACCTTAATTATTTGTGGTTTTAAAGATGTTATCAAAAAATAAATAAGTATGCCAGATAATTTTTTAAATTAAATTTGAACTTATAAAAAGTCTTTCCCTTTAGTTTGTATTTTTTTTTCCTATTTCTTATATTTAAATTTTGTTATACAAGAAGGGCCATATCATTTGGTATGAAAATTTGCTCAAATTAGTTTTATCTAAGAAATAAAATAAATTTTTCTTTAACATGACACTTTTTGAGGGGTTTGCAATATTGAGGTAACCAAATTATAAAATTTAAAAGAAGAAGAAGAGGAGGAAGAAGAAAGTTATCAAATAAGTAATGAATTTTTTATTAAGACCATTGACACAACTAGATAACTGGATCAGAGGAGTGTAGTTTATAAAGAATCAAATAATAAAAAAAAGAAACAATCTTCAATTGATAGGCTGTAAAAAAAAGGCAGAGAGGTAGCACGTGCACCCTTCTAGTTATATTATATTATTACTATAATATTATTATATGTTATAAAGTTAATATCTCAGATAGTGTGAATCTAAAGATGAAGTTGTGTAACATTTTTACAATTCTAAAATTGTTCCTTATTAAGAGGTTTATCTTTTCATAGTTTAAATGAGTTCTTCCATATATTTTAATGGGTAAAAATGCAAACTTAAAAAAAGTAATTTCTGAAACTCACACAAGTTTTTTTAGTAAGAGGATCCCTTCCGTCCAGATTTTAAACGGGAGAGTGTTATTTGGACTCGTAAGATCCATCGCGGGTCTCGTTTTGATGATCTGAACTGTTCATTTTGTTAGATATTTTGTGTATTTCATCCAAAAAAAATTAGCTCGATCAGATAACTGTAATTTGTTCAATTTATTGTGTTTGTCATAAAAACTGTATGATTTATTTTTAAAAACACAATCGTTGTCTATTTTTAGTTAAAAATTGAATAGGTTACAGTTATTGGATCGACTTATTTTTTTGTGTGGTTGAAATACACTAAGTACCCGACAACATAAACATTTAGATCATCGAAACATGACCTGTGATGGATTCCATGGACCTAAACAAGGCCCTCCAATCCAAAATCTAAACTGAAAGAACCTTCCTCTGTTTTTTTATTTATTTATTTAGGGCAAATTATAAACACCCCCTCGAGATTTGGTAAAAATACAGATTTCCCCTGAGATTTGAGAAATTACAAATTGCCTCCTGAGGGTCAAATTTTCATAACAAATTAGGGCAAATTAGGGAGGAATCTGTATGAAAATAAAAATCTCAGAGGACAATTTGTTATGAAAATATAAACCTCAGGTGGCGGGATGTAATTTCTCAAACCTTAGGAGAAAATCTGTATTTTCACCAAACCTCAAGGGGGTGTTTGTAATTAGCCCATTTATTTATTATTTGCATTGGGTGTGTCACAACGTCACAATATATATGTGGGCGAAAAAAAAAAAGGCAACCATTCAAGAGAAAGCAAATGAACGTACGTTTGGTTTTGTACAAAAATTATTATTTTATATTTTCAAAAACAAAAACATGAAATATGTTATTGAAAACTCATGTGACAAATTGTTTAGTAAACTTTTCTCAGCAGAAATTTAAAATTTAAAAAAAAAAAAAATTGTTTTTAGTTGACTAACTTTAAATTAATCTCTGAATTATAACCAGAGTGTTTTCAAATGTCTCATATTTTTGTTTCCAAAAACACAAAAAAACCAAAACAAAAATTTGACAATCTTCTTCATTGCTAATTGCTACAGAGTATCAAAAGTAACTTTTCTGTATATTTTAAGATTTATAGATCAAATGTCCCACAATACATGAGTAATCAATCATTGCACATAGGAACAACATCCCATTATTCATCCTCATAACTCCCTAATGAATAAAAGGTTCCCAAACATTTGTTTCTCAAATAACAAACATTTAAATTCAAGAGATAACACAAGCATTTGGGTTCTCCTCAGCACTTTGAACATAGTAATACTGAGTCATGCAAGGATTGTAGGCCTTGTATGCCTTCACAAGCTCTGCAATCTGTTTCTCTTCTTCTTTCTTTTTATCTTCATCCTTCTTTCCATCATCTTTTTTTCCTTCATCTTTTTTACCCTCATCTTTCTTCTTTTCGGGTTCTTTTGCCGGCCCAACTGTCAGTATTTCTGTGTACCAATCTTTCTTCTTTTCGGGTTCTTTTGCCGGCCCAACTGTCAGTATTTCTGTGTACCATTTATTCCTCAATTTGCCCACTACACAAACTGGGTCGACGCCTCCGATCACTGTCAATTTCTTCTCCTTCATGTCCATTGCAATCGATTCAACTCCTACATAAAATTGCAAAAATTAAAAACAGAGTAATAAATATCTTTCTTTTTATCTTCATCCTTCTTTCCATCATCTTTTTTTCCTTCATCTTTTTTACCCTCATCTTTCTTCTTTTCGGGTTCTTTTGCCGGCCCAACTGTCAGTATTTCTGTGTACCATTTATTCCTCAATTTGCCCACTACACAAACTGGATCGACGCCTCCGATCACTGTCAATTTCTTCTCCTTCATGTCCATTGCAATAGATTCAACTCCTACATAAAATTGAAAAATTAAAAACAGAGTAATAAATAATAATAAGTTTTATTTATTTATTTATTTATTTTTTTCATATATGAGCAAGAAAGTTTGGCAAACCAATTCAATAATCAATACCTGAAATGCTAGAAACTGCTTTCATGGCCTTTTGCTTGTCTCTTTCATCATGTAAATCCAATTTCAATACAAGTTTCTGCAACAAAGAGAGCAAGAACAGTAAACAACTAAATAGCAGAGAACAGAGTGATGGAAAAACAGCCCACTTTAGAATCTGTTTTGGAAAAGCAAAAATATCACACGAGAAGCTGATTACTGTGGAGGAAAATATATTTTTAAGATTCTTAGGTAGGAAAATTCAAGATTTATATTCTGATTTGCGAATGGAAAAACCTCCAAGAGACGGGTTTGAAAATTCAGAGCATATAAAGGGAAAAAAAAGATAATATGAGATTCGTGCATTTTCCGAGAAAAAAAGATGGGAATTGTAATATTATGTTTAAAATAAGAGAAAACAAGAAAACCATCAAGAAATGAGCTTAAAATTCTAATAAAATCGAAGAGAAATTGAGAAAGAAGATTCAATTAGAAACCCATCAACTGGGCATGAAACAGAACACAATACAGACAAAATTCCAATTACAATGAATAGACACAAACATATATGTGCATATTTAATATGTTAAAAATAAAAAACAGAGCAAAAGAAAGAAAGAAAAGAAGGAAAAAAAAAAAAAAAAACAGGATTGTCGGTAAGAAACTGAGGGAAATTTCACCTTCATTTCCAGTAGGCTCAGAGTTGTGACCAGGACTTGAACAGACTTGACGAATCAAAAGAATATTTATGTTACAATTAATTATATTGTTGATATATGTATATATAAGGGGTGTGTGTATTTGTGATGAAAAAGAAGATGGAGAAGGAAAGTTCCTTGCTGAACACGGAGAGAAGACCAGGTGGAGTCAACTAGAGAGAGAGACAGTGAGAGAGAGAGAGAGATAGAGATTGTTTGGAGGAAGGAACCCAGAGAGTGAGTTGTGCCCTTGTCAAAGCTAAGACAAAGTCTTCTTTGATGTTCGAAAGGGGTTGCAAGCTCTTCTTATTCACCATATCGTTGGACTCGAGGACAATTCTTGTGTGTGTGAAAATGGCCCATGGACGGGCTGAAACCGCTAATAATTTGGGATGGGTCCGATCTATTTAGGTTCCTTTGGATTCAGAATTCGAGCCTAATCCGAAATCTTGGACTTGGATCTGGACCATTTTTTTTGAAGCCTGGCCTATCTGGCCCGACCTGTCCTAAGCCTAGTGTATTTTTTAGTGAAAAATAATAAAATTTTGATGAAAAAATTAAAAAAAAAAAAATGTTCAAGCTCGCCCAAGCTTGAACCCAGGCCTAAGCCCACTGGCCCGACTTGGACCGACGCCCGCTCTACTGTCCCGTCCAAGACCCAAATATCCTTGGGTATGGACCTAATTTTTTGGCTCCACGAAGCCCGACATGGGCCAGGCCAAGTCAGACCAAATTTACAACCCTACTTGTGTCCTTTTTCCCTTCCTAACAAATTAGTAAAATTGTATTAGGCTTTCTAGGGAAATTCTATATGCAGTTTGGTTACAACTTTTGGCTTGCTTTGACAAGCTAGCAAAAAGTTAATTTTTAACTTTTTTACCCAAGTCACTACCTAAAAAGTTAACTTTTTTGGCTAAAAAAGTCAAAAGTCATTTTTCTACCAACTTTCTAAAACACCACTTTGTAATTTTAGTTATAATTTATTATGGTATTAGTTATCACATTATTTTAGTTATTATTCAATAATTTTTTTTTTTTTGTGGTTATATGTGAGATATTTGGTTATATATAGATATATATTTTCCTCTTTTTATCTTGTAGTTATGATTATCATAGGATTGAGGCATTGTTTGACAAGAGGCTATTTTAGTCAATTAGCCAAAAAGTTACTAAATTGGTCAAAAAGCCAACAACCCATACCAAAAAGTCAAAGATTCTCTTTTCTCTCTACTTTTTGCACATCTTTTTGTAATTAGCCAAAAAGTCATCCCAAACATACAAGTTTTTTTTACCTACCTTTTTAGCTAATAGCTAAAAAATTACTAAGCCTGTATTTGGCAAGTAGGTTTACTTTGTAATTTTAGTTATAATTTATTATGGTATTAGTTATCACATTATTTTAGTTATTATTCAATACTTTTTTTTTTTTTTTGGTTATATGTGGGATATTTGGTTATATATAGATATATATTTTCCTCTTTTTATCTTGTAGTTATGATTATCATAGGATTGAGGCATTGTTTGGCAAGAGGCTATTTTAGTCAATTAGCCAAAAAGTTACTAAATTGGTCAAAAAGTCAACAACCCATACCAAAAAGTCAAAGATTCTCTTTTCTCTCTACTTTTTGCACATCTTTTTGTAATTAGCCAAAAAGTCATCCCAAACATACAAGTTTTTTTTACCTACCTTTTTAGCTAAATAACTAAAAAATTACTAAATTAACCTGTTCCCAAACGAGGCCTGAGTCACAAATGTCATAACTTATCATACCCTTACTTTAAGTTTGGATAACTCAAAATAGTATAAAAAATACAACATAAAATAATCTTATTTCGTATCTCATTTTGTCACTTTAGGATAGAAGTGAGTGTGTTTCAAGAGTTGAAATGACTACTGTGCAGAGGCACAACAACCACTATTATGTGGCCCATGAGGCTCATTTGGAACCCATTTTGATGATACAAATCATTCATTTTTTAAGGTACATCAAGTAGATTATACTTGAAAAAAATCAAATTGATCAGACATCGATAGCATTTTCATTGAATTACATTTGTATATATATAAAAATAATAGTAAATGTAATTTAAAGAATAAAACCGAATACAAATACAATTAGACGAAAGGACTATCAATGTTCAATTATTCAACTTTTTACAGATACGTTATACTCGGTCTACCTTGAAAAGTGAACGGTTGAGTCCCATGGTCTGCATGACAGGGACCATTAATTATGTCCCTCACACAACAGTTACCCAAACTCCTTGAATTCTATATGTATTTATGAATGGGTCAGGCTTGTCTATAATTTGCTTTGTAGACTAAATGGTACTATTGGGCTCATGGAGTTCACCATAGATCTTGTTTCTATAATCTGAACCGTTCAATATATAGAACTCGTTGAGTATTTTATTTCTATAAAAAATTATATTGATCGAATATCGATAGCTACTTTGTCGGATTAGATTTTTGTCAACAATTTATTTTGACAATTATACTTACCGTTAATAGAAATATGATCTGATCAAGTAGCTATCAATATCCGATCAATGTGATTTTTTATAAGGATAAAGTATTTAACGAGTTCTACATATTAAACAGTTTGAATTATTGAACTTGTGATGGACCCTTACAACATGCTCTAATCCGATCTCAAATTGGAGAAACCTAACCCTTTATGAATATGGATCCATTACTTTGTGTTTACCAGTTAGAGAGTGAAGTAAAAATTGAGATTATGTATATATTATTCTCCGATAGTATTTTAATAAAATTGAAGTTTATTTTGACGATTTATTTGGTTTATTTTTAGGCATTTATGGATAAATTATTCATTAAAAAAAAATAACAAACTTTTTGTAATCATGTAATTTTATTAGCTATGTTTGGCATATGTTATTTAGGTTAAAATAGTCACAAAAAGATAAAATAAGTTAAAAAGTCAATAAAATAAAAATGTCACATCCAAACTATAATCATTTCATTTTTTTTCTAACAAAACTAAAAAAAAAATCAAAAAGTCCATTCCAAATAAGACTTTTTAGCTCTAGGCTAAAATAACCAAAAAGGCAACCCAAATTCCAAACGAAGGCTATATTGTTTCTAAAAAAAAAAATAGTCAGTTTGTTTGTTTTCATAACTCATGATTCACTTTTTAGAAAATTAAAATTTTTTATTTTTCATATTTTTTTGTTTTTACTATTTTTTTTAATATTTGAAGTAATTTTTCTTTTAATGTTTAGATATACCTAACATAAATACACTTAAAAAGTATAATAATTGTGAATTTTTTTTAAAAAAAATTCACTAAATAGCAAAAATATGAAAAAAAAAATGAAAATTCAGTACATGTTTTGTATGCTTGTGTATTTCTTAATTTTTTAAAATATTTTTTTGTAAATATTTTATTTTTTTAAATATATCTAAGTAAGATGCATTTAAAAAAGTAAAACAATTAGTTAAAATTTTAAAAATATTCACTAAAAATAAAAAAATACGAATAACAAAAAACACAATTTTTAAAAAATTGAATTTAGAAAATTTAAACTAAACATAGTGGATGATATTTTTAGTAGTATATTATATTATATTTTTATTACGATTATTAAAGCATGTAAAAAAAATTATTTTATTTATTTTGATTTTTTTATATACATAGTGGTACAATAATCTCCATTTAGAATCGGTTAGGAATTTACCACGTGGCCATAATTCAAATAAATATGCCTTAAATTTTTTGCGTAAGTTTAAAAAATGAGGCAAAACTGTGTTGGTCAATTATTGGTGTGTGGTACAACCATTTCATGAAATAGACCCCTAAATTTTGCGTACGAAATGAGGAGTATTATGTGATTTGGGATTCATAGAAGTGGATAAGGATTGTTTTGGAAAGTTAGTTTTTTATTTTTTTAAAGTAATATGTAAAAAAATAGAGGGTTTGTTTGGTTTGTTTTTGGGAGAGTTGTTTTTGAAAAAAAAATTGGGGAGAGAGTTTAGAAATTTCTTTGGTTTGTTTGGTTGTATATTTTGGGAGAGTTGTTTTTTTGGGAGTTTGGGATGATTTGATATTTTGGGAGAATTTGAGTAGATGTGTGTGAGAGAAAAAATGATTGAGAATGAGAGAGGAGAGAGAAAAAGTGATTGATTGATGTGTAAGAGAGAGAAAGTGATTTTGGAAATTTTTTGAGAAAAACTCAAACCAAATAATTTTTTAAAATTTTTTTTCTAAAACTCATCTCCCAAATGCAAACCAAACATACCCAGAGAAATTATATGATTTAAAAAAGTTAAAAAGTTAAAGGATTAACTTTTAATCAATTACTTAAAAGGCCTAAGTAATTAAGGACAATCATCATTATTATGAGTTCAAAAAAAAAAAAATCAATAATCACCTTGTTTGTTTTGACTTTTTAAAAAATACTTTTCAAAAAAATTTACTTTCTTATTTTCTGTGTTTTTTTGTTTTTTACTGAATTTTTTTAATATTTTAAACAATTTTTTTACTTTTTAGACACAGCTAACATAAACACACCTAAAAAGTAAAAAAATTGTAAAAAAAATATTTTAAAAATTCACTAAACACCAAAAATACAAAAAAAAATTTATAAGAATTCAGTACATTTTTTGTATTTTTATGTATTTATTAATTTTTTAAAATATTTTTTCAAATTTTTTTTACTTTTTAGATACATCTAAGTAAGGTGTATCTAAAAAAAATAAAAAAAAATGTTTAAAATTTTAAAAATATTCACTAAAAACAAAAAAAAATACGAAAATCAAAAAAAGTTAATTTTCAAAAAACTTAATTTAGGAAATTCAAACCAAACACAATTATTATGGCTTCTTTTGACAAGAAGATAAAAATACTTTTTTTTAGCTTTTAAATTTCTTTTAAATTTCTTTTTTTTAGCTTTTAAATTATTATGGGTTCTATTTTTTTTTTTACATATTTTTTTTTTAAAAAAATTAAAAATTAATTTTAACCTATTTTCCAAAACAACCGTATATATTTTCTTTGTTTGTAGTGACTATTAATTTGTTGGTATTACTTCTCCAATCATCAAATTTTCCAATTTTTTGGTGTGGGTGGTAAACTGCCTAACCATCTGCCTCTAATTTCAACTTAAACCAAAGCTTGGTTTTATTCTGAGGTCAACTTGTGATGTAGTAGGAGTGCCTATTAAATAAATTTTGATTGATAACATAGAAAATGATGATATTATATTTATTATATATCTATGTTATATTATGTTTATTATTTTT